ACTACATAAGATGTTCGAATATCACATTGTGCAGATTACTCCTGCACAACTAGTAGAGCTCTGAATAAGCTGTAACTTGGAGGTATGGTGACTAACACCTCCTCCACTCCTATTATAAGTCCTGAACCTCATAGATTCCAGCCTAGAGGGTTGCTGTAAGTCTAGTAAAAGTCTAAAAGTAGAGACACTCCAGTAACAAAGTATATGCGCATACTGTCAAGTTGACCAAGGTCTGTCTGCATGATATATCAGGAGACAGATGAGTACCTGGAGAATAGTCTCCTGGTCGCTTCATCCAAAATGGATCACAACTGATACAGTAATACCACTTTGAAGTTAGAAGTAGTATATGAGGTTATCGGAGTCCTATATATGACGTAAGTTAAGTCTATTGCTTAGAAAATGAAAACACAATTATTGAATTGTAAAGGACACTATGATACTAGTCGGAGATTGTAATTAGACTTACTATTAGGAGAGTTAGCTGCAGGTAGCTCATATTGGTAGTCAACCTCTGAAGCGGTATATCGGGAAAGCTTCATTACCATGATCTGGAATGATATACAATACTGTAGAACCAGATAGATGTCCAGGGGCTACAGATACTTGAAGAAACTAAATGTATATGAGTAGAGTGTTCAATAGTTATTACGGTATTCAGTCGGGTATGACAGCTTAATACTGACATCTTCATAATAAGATGACTTTTTACTCCTGCAGTTGTATTGTAGATGCAATGACTAAAACACTTTTGTTATTAGAATATTAGCACACTACAGAGTGGTCTAGTTTGCTACAAAGGATCTTTTATCTGCTCTGTGGAGGTTAGCTAGACAGCCTAAAGTAGTTGGATACTTACAAATGCAGACTAGTGATGTGGAGCAACTGGCACTATATGAAATCTACTTAAGTATACGTGTGTTCTCCTCTACTCTAGCAATCTACTACCTCTGAAGATCAAGACTGAAATGAGTGAAGACATAGCTTAATAATATTAAGTTTTACAGTTTTGTTTTTCAAACTCTACTGCTGGGACTTCGAAATGTTAGCAAATTTGTTCCCAGTAGAATTCATCTCTGTGCAATCACAATCTCGCAGTCCATCTTTTCAGAGGTAGACCCCATTACATCAATGCTGATTATACCTGTGAACTCCTAGTATTACTATTCAACTATTCAGATGTAGACTGTCACATTACTGCTAGTAATTAAATTGCTCAGCTAGTAATAGAAAACATCAATACTGCAGATATAATGGAAATAGACAACCTGGAGAACACCAAAAGAGGTATAGTGGAATTCAGCAGTACAGATATCATCACAAGTGCTACCTCTATCCTACAATTAGAACCAGTAGTCAGCCTGTTACAAGTATCAATTGACCAGAATAAGCACTACTTTGATATAACCAAAATGCCAGAGTGAATCCTCAATACCAGTGTGATACTAGCCTGCAAGGAATTAAAGTGGTTTAATTCTGAATTCCTAGAGCAAATTTTAAAGGCAATCGCAGGAGATAAAGAAAGGCTTAAAAGCACGGAGAAGATGAAAAAGTTACAAGACAAGAGCAAACACTTTCCACAGGATTGAACCATGTCTGGTGAATTGCTTATTATAAGCAAAGCTTGTTTGTACTAAAAAACTAGGACTATTACAGTACAATAGTCAAAGAATGTTATGATGCTAAAATAGCTAGACATTTCAGACAATAAAAAATCCTCAAGATAATCATGAGAGACTTCCATTGGAAAGGCTTGGCCATTTGAGTGAATACCTATGTACAGTTATGTGATAATTGTCAAACTAATAAATTGTCATTCCACGTAAAATATGGTCTACTACAGCTGCTATCAATTTCTTATACAGCCTGGGTGACTATATCGGTAGACTTTATTAAGTAGTTACTACAGAATCAAAGATGTACTCAAATTATGGTAGTAGGAAATTGGTTTACAAAAATGGCCTACTTCATCAGATGAGAAGGAATAGCTGCTGCAAATATTATAGCTATAGCCTTTGTAAAGGAAGTATAGATGCTACATGGCTTCCTATTAGAAATTATCTTGGACTTAGATTCAAAGTTTGCAGGAGAATTCTGCAACTCTCTATATAAAACATTGGACACCAAAAGGATGATGTAAACAGTATAGTACCTATAGATGGATGGATAAACTAAGCGAACCAACTATGTGCTGGAAGGTTACTTGCAAAGCTTTGTCCATTATGTTCAGGACAACTGGTACTAAATGTTACACTTAGCCAAATATGCCTTCAACAACTTGAGGACAACTACATAAGAAATGGCTCTATTTTATGCAAAATACAGGTTTTATCCACAGAATCATTGGATGAAAGAGTGCAAAGTGTAAAATCCAGCTGTAATACTTTATATGAACTAGGCAAAGACTATCAATAAACAAATACAGTGATCTTTTGAACCCACACAAGAAGCAATAGCTAAATATAATAATGGAGTGGCCAAGCAACAACCAGACTCCAAGGTCGGTGATAATATGATGATAAACACAAAAAGTATTTGAGCTCACCCGAGTCTGCTACGACGGCTGTGTACGCGCGGGTTGATACA